GGAAAAGAAAATGGAAGTTACAGTTATAGGTGTAGAATATTGGGGTATATTGAGATAATGGAAAATAAAATGGAAGCTACTATAGCATATAGGGTTATATAGGGGTTATATTGGGGGTATATTGGGATAATGGAAAATTAAATGGAAACTGCTATCTAGGGTTTAGGGTTAAAAGTGGTAGATGTAAAGTGAAGTCCCACAGCCAGAAATTAAGCAAGAGTCAAAAAAGGTTCCAAGGATCCAAGTAGTAAGTAGTATATACTCGGGCTCCACTTTGTGAGTTTTTTTCACCAGCTTATGCCCCCACTCTTTGATTTTTTGTCACCCGTTTGGGCTCCAAACATAGATTGTCTTGGCATTTAGGGGTTTCCCAAAATTAGGGGTACCTTTTTTGGTGTCCCCATAATAAGGAGTACAGTATATTAGGGTCGATATTGGGGTCCCTAATTTGGCAACTGCCATTTTGGACGTGTTCTAGGCCCTCAACCCTAAACCCTAAACCCTAAACCCTAACCCCTAAACCCCTAAACCCTAAACCCTAAATGCCACCATGGACCCTGGGCTCTGGAGTCATCGTGGCGCGTTGAAGCGGGGCTGGAGGCCGCGGTTCTGGCGGACGGCAATCAAGACATCCTTGTCGAAGTAGGTGTATAAGAAAGGTTTCGGAGTTTGGGGCACTGGGGCTTCAGTTGAAGAGCTTAAGGTTCACTAAAGTTGTTTAACAGGTGCCGGATCTCTCCACTCCAACCACTACCTTACCCTTGAGCAAGATTTCATCTTCTCGCTGGTCACTGTGAAAATTGATGTTGTCTTACTTGTGGTTTCGCAGCGCCAAAAGTTTGTCATTCAGCTCTGACAAGCCTTGACCGCAAACTTTAGGATTTCTTGAACTGGTGGTTCTTGACACTGGAGTTTTGATGACGCCTCCGCCAGACGTTGACACTGTTGGGCTTTGGGCCACTGTGTCCAGAAGCACCAACCCTTCAAAGTGTCGGGATGTGGGCTAAAACAGCCCAAATCTTGTGGAATGTCTTGCTTCCAGGGTTAAGAGCTTCTAGGGCTCCTTGAAAGTAAAATCCCTGGAAGCTATCCCGGAGGGCAAAAGCTGAGAGGCTTTTTCAGGACTGCAGCTCAAGCGCGTCCAAAAAGAAGTATGGTGGGACCGATCAGAAGGCTGAAACGTGAAAGGGAAGAGTAATGACAGCAATATCTATTTCCATGATCCCTATAATATAGGTTATATTATAACTCCTAAATACCATGTAGTAGTTTCCATTTTCTTTTCCATTATCCCTATATAACCCCCAATATAACCCTTATCTAACCCTATATGCTACAGTAGTTTCCATTTTCTTTTCCCTTATCCCTATATACCCCCTATATAGCACGATCGGCTACATTGTTTCAGCGAGCTGTAGGGATTATGCTGCCAAGCTATAGTCCCCCTTAAGTAGATACAATATGGGGTTTTATAGAGGTTATGCAGGGATAATGGAAAAGAAAATGGAGACTACTATCATACAATAGGATATATATTGGGGATATGGTCCCCCTTAAGTAGATAGAATATGAGGTATGTGGGGACCTTATTATAATATACCCAAAGCCATATTCTATGTACTCAAGGGGGACTATAGGTTGCTGTTAAGGAACTCAGTTTCAGTTACCACAATGTGGTTAAAGAGTCAATAGTTAATAGTATGGTTTCCTTACGTGGTAGCTAAATTGAGTTGCTTAGTTTAACACCCTGCATAGCAATCTTATAACCACGGTTTTCATTTTCCTTTTCCATTTGATCTTAAGGTGATTCTTCGGTAGTATTTACAATTACCATAAAGTTTCAACCTCCAATCTTCTCTCCTACAAGTACAGTCTGAACCATATGGGAGCCCCGAATGCAGCTGCCGGGCAGGACAATCCGCAAAGCGGCGTCTATGTGAAGGACCTGTCCGCCTTTGTGGTCAAGTCTACGGCCGAGATGCACCAGGTTGCTGGCTGCCGAAGTTTAGTCCCGTGGACAGTTGGGCTGCTGGCCAGGAATCCCCAGATACAATGGGGATTGCTTTTTGGGGTAGGGTTCAGTGCAGGCATGAGGCTCCCTGAAAATGGACCTTCAGCTCTCACGAGAAGAAATATCACATGCGATGAAAGATCTAAGATGCTCCTTCAACCTGGAAGCCATGTTTAGCTAGAGACTTTGAGAATGCTTGGGCTGACCCGACTGTGGGAGTTGCCAACATTATGGCCCTTTTAATGTTGAAATACTGAAGATACCGAAAAAGATCAAAAAGATCTCATGATCTGGAACATCCCTCAATCACGAAAGAGTAGCGTACAATCCACCTGAACATGTCGTATGGCCCCTGCAGCATTCTAGTCCGTAATATGCACATACATTTATGAGAGTCATACGTATTCGTGTGATGACTGGCATGGACCAGAGACAATGATTCTTCAAACAACAGGCAGAGCGGTGCAATTCGGAACTCCTGTGACCCCCGAGCTGAAGGCTTCAAGCATCTGATCCAAACATGCAAGTCCAACACCCAAAGTGAAACTTGTTTTACCCCAAGCAAGGCGTTACGTCCTAGAGCTAAGCACGTTGGCCTCTCATGGACCCATGTGCCTGGGTTGTACCCGCGCGCGCCGCTTCATGGCAATGGCAGCCGCCGCTACTTAACTGGAATTTACGAGCTCCTTAGATGGTTTTGTGAAGTACAGAAGAAGGACCTTGTATTTTGAGTCGTAGTGGCCATCATGGTGGTGGTGGTGGTGGTGGTGGTGGTGGTGGTGGTGGTGGTCGTCGTCGTCGTCGTCGTCGTCGTCGTCGTCGTCGTCGTTGTCGTGTATGTACTTACAGCTGTGGTGATGATGTTGGCCCATGTATGGTGCTCCTCCTCCTCATAGTACTTTGCTACTAGGAGTAGCATGAGTAGCAGGAGGAATTGCAGTCATAGTGGTAGAACAAGGAAGCGGAGGGGATTTGCAGAAGGAGGAGTAGTAGTACGTAAGTAGGCAGGTAAATGAAGCAGCAGCCTAGGTCAGCGTAGGTGGAGTAGTTGCATTATGCTGCTTGTGATCACTTTTGATGGGATTTTTTTGTAGTAGTGGCAACAGCAGTGCCATGTCAAGCTTCCAAAGTCCCAGGCCTGCGGTTCCCCGGCTGACGCCATCCCAGCCACGCGTGTTTCGAAGGCGTGGAGAAACTATTGGGAATCCTTCGTAGAACAAATCATCGGTCGTTTGAGGGGCCCGAGGTATAGTGCAGCGGTCTAGATGTTTCTGGCATGCATCTGCCTTTGTGCGCTATCCCTTTCTGGAGCCACGGCCCAGTAGTTAGATTTTAGTACAAATAATAGTGTTACAAAGGGTCTGCTGCTTTTTTTTAAAAACATATTTTAACTTTTGCTGGTAACACATCTCAACGACGTTCAGTTTCGCCGCCTGAAATCACAGATGCGGCTCTGAAGTTGATGTTTGTCGAAGGGCGTGCCTTGCCAGGACCTGAGAGGAGATGACTCGGATGTGGGCACTTTCAACAGCAATTGACTGTGAAGCCCAAGCCTTCAAACCGACCCAATGCCTCAAAGAGCTGGTTGTCAATGATGTTTGTAGCCTAACTTCATCCTGCAAAGCCGCCAAAGAAGCCTTGAAAAGCTCCAGTTTCGCAAAGTCTCCAGGACTGCGCCGTTGGCATTTGCTTTTCCACTTGCACAGCTGCGGCGCGGAGAGGCAAAGGTAACATTTTTGCACAAGCAACCGAGCTGGCTTTGTAGAGTTGGCGCTGCTGCTGCTGGTGGTGGTGCTGGTGGTGCTGGAGGTGCTGATGGTGGTGCTGGTTGGGGGCAGCGACTGCAGCAGTGGTGGTGCTGCTTGTACTTAGTGTGGTGGTGATGGTGGTCCTACAGGTGGTAACAGTAACCTGTGGAAGCAAGTTTTCCCCAGTTCCACTGAGAGCGAGAATACCAACAGTAGCAAGTAGTTTCCAATGGCAAAATTGCAAAAGCTGCGACAGTGCTTGGTAAGACAACATTACCCGTACATGCGCTAGGAGCCATAATGGCGCAACCACCCACCATTGTGAGCTTTCTGCATCCTGGTGGTTTCTGCAGGGCAAGCACGAGACCTTTCGCCTGTCCGAACGCAGACATTGGCCTCTTCCTATCCCAAACTACGTCGCGTAAGCTTCATGCACTCACCAACCAGCTAAACAATCCCTAAATCCTTCAACCTACTCTAGTATAAGCACATCTTTGTGACCCATCCCTTAACGCCCCTGAAGCTCAGAGCTTGTAACTATCCATGTGATGCCTTATCAGGCTATTCGACGAGGGGCCAAGAAATCAGGCAAGGGCGAGCCCTACTTGCACTTCAAGGTTTAAGCGAGTTGGCAGGTTGGGAGGATTGGGGCGGTGAGCTGCTCCAGCCCTGGGTTGTCTCTTTTCTTGTGCTGCCACAGGAGGTGTGATCTTGTTTGACTCGGATTTGTGCACAGTGTTCAGCATAGCATGGCAAAGTGGCAAACACGTGTGGAAAGAGGTTTGTGGCAGGTTTGTGCTGGTCTGGGTGCATATTGACTGGGCTCACCTTGTCTGATTGTGCCCTCTGGAGTCCATGAAGTTAGTCATTGTTGTACGGGGGGCTATGTTTTCTTTGGTCTATTTCGTGGGAGCCACACTTGCCTTGTCACGGGAAAATATTGCCGTCAGTTATGTGGGGTGTTTTCTTTGTATAGGGGGACGAAACCCTATATAGGCACGGTCTCCATATCGTTCCATTGGGGACAATGATTGAGGGCGGCCCAAATCCCAACCCTTAAGCGCTCAACCCTACATCCTGGAACTTAAGTTATCTTGATTACTATCATGAGGAAACCCTATCATCTTCTATGTCTTCAGATTATGGTATCTTACCCTAAAACCCTAAACCTAAACCCCTAAACGCCAATCATACAGGGCCCCAAGCCCTATGCATCAGATGAGTCGCCATGCCTCGCCTAGGCGAGGTCCAGGCCATCGAAGGTGAATGCTGGTGCCTCGCAGGAGATTCACAGGGTTTTCGGGTTTAAGGATTTGTTTTAAAGGTTTCTCGACGTTTCTTTTTTTTTGCTTTCATGCTTGAGTAGTGGCTGCGTGTGTGAGTGTTAGGATTTTTTTAGGCGTTTAGGGTGTGAAGTTGGAGGGTTCGGTTTTTGCGGTAAGGGGTTGGACTTTCGATCATGGGCTTGAGGGTTATTCTTCTGGGGCGCCAGAATGATTGAGGCCGGGGTCTGTTTCAGTCGAGCTGTTTCGGAGGCTTCCAGATTTTGATGCCGAGTGCTGGTCTGATTCAGGATCAAGATTTTTTGCCTGTTGCGGTTTGACGGGGCTGCTTACATGGCTTTGTATGGCTCGCTGGCTGGCAGAATGAGCGATAGCTGTTGATTTGAAGGCAGGCATTATGTGACACGGGAGAGCTTGTCATCCCAGGAAAGGTTCTTGGTGGGTAAGTGGCAGCTTATCATTGAGCTAATTTGGAACTTTCAGTCTTCTGTGGGGGCAGACGCCAAATAACATTCGTTAGATACTGGAAGAACAGTCCTCTCAGTCAGCCTTATTGCAACAACACTCTGGGATGCCAGCTTCACATACGATGTAACATACAATATACAACATCTAACTCCCGCAGTCCTCACATCCAGATCTCAATTATTCGATTCGGCGCTGGATATGGACAATCCGGCATTAGCAGGAAGTGGAGTTCCATGTTCGGGTGATGCATCAAAAGGACCAGTTTGTGGAAGGGGCAGGTCTGTAGGCCTTATCATTTGGCGGCTTTCTGTTTATGTGACTGTTGAATTGTCAGTGCCATACCTTCTTGGGTGCAGTTTCATGGTCTGAGATTTGACGTTTGGCGTTTACAGGTACACTCCTGCTCGCCAAAATGCAGCAAGAATTTACATAGTTTCAGGTACCTGCCAGGTGCAGAGATGAGTACGTAGCAGTGAGAGGCAAGTGCCAGAATTGAAAGGGCCCTGAAACTCAAAACCCTAAGCCCTAAGTCCAGCTCCATCCCCTTCCCTAGGCCCCAGCTCTCAATCCAAAGCGCTCAAGATCCTTCCCCGAACACGCTTCCCCCTCTACGACTTCATGATAGTGCTCTCCCGGTCCGCTCAGGCACCGCATCCATAGCTCGATATCCCAACGAGGCTGACCTGAACATCCAGCCTCAATTTCTCATAGAAAACATCGTTCATGTTTCTGAAGTAGATTGAATGTAGAAAAGGATTATGAACAAGTTTCAAGTTCTTGCGGCGAATGCAAGCATCCTGGTCTGCAGAAGCATTTCTGCTACAGTCAGACCCAGAGGTAGTTGTAGGATTCTTTTGGGAGCCTAAGGTTGATTACTATGGGGCAGTTCAAAGTATATATGCGTCTGTGAGCAACTAGGGCTCGTCATCGAACCGTGCTGCTGCTTGCGCTTTGTAGAAATGTCAACATATGTGGTTGCAGCGTAGGTAGGATATGCAGGATGTGAATAAGTGCGTGACGCTTCAGCTGGAGTTCAGAGTCCTGTGGTGTGGTAAGTGTCCCGTTCATCAAAAGAGCCCGGTACTGAAACATCTGCGTGGATCTTGGTAAAAAGGAGGATCGATAGGCAAATAGAAGCGGCAAGTGGCGGGTATTAACTAGTTGCTGGAAGATAGAACCCTTAAATACAAAATCAGGTAGTATGGGATTGGAGACCCTGGCATAATCCAAGGTAGTCCAATCTGTAACATCAAACTCATCTAGAGAATCGGTGGTGGTCGTCATCTTCTTGTATGACACCTGGCGAGCTGGAGGTCTTCATAGGTTTGGGGAAGAAGCAAGAGATGGGATTGTTCGAGATGCATCGGCTGCAAGCATGAACCAGCAATACTAGGTATTGTAGAAGGCGGAAACTGACCCCTCTGAGCAGGACATCTTCTCGCTGGATGTAGAATGCCTGGCTATCGGGCGAACCCATGATTCATGACAGCAATTGAGCATTTGGAAGTTCTCCAGTCGGCACTAGGCTACGATGCTTGACATGGAGGGCTGTCCGTTAGAAGGATGTACGCCTGGCGTTAAGATCAAAGAGACCATGTCAGGCATGTTGCCTTGATCCACGCCGTTCATCCAGGCTGTTTTGGAGACTTCCACGTTGAGCCCTAAGCAGAGAGCTCATGTCAGGATGGCATCCCGATTTGAAAGCCAGAAATCCAATTGAGCTGCGTTTTCATCAGGGAAGCTACATATAGTTTCAAAAGATAGGGTAAGATTACTAAACTGCAAGCTGTGGCCTTCTTAGTCTAGAGGCTTCAGCGTGAGTTGTCGAGCCAGACCTACTCGTGAGGGTACGTTCATTGCAGCTACATCCTTCTCGATGTAATGCATACCTGCCAGCAAGCCCCTGGGATGAGTGTGCCACTAGCAAACTCGAGGAGAAAGGCGATCGTGCTCCCTGTTCCTATGCTCTGGTGGATGGTTCTGGCTGCCTTTTGAAGCGGACCCTGATCCAGCCTCCACGAGAGGCTGCGGACGTTAATGGGGCGGACTGTAGGACAATCATACAGTGGGGTTATATACAGGATATTGCCCCAATAATGGAGAATCAAATGGACAAGAAAATAGAGAGTGAAATGGAAGCTGGGGGTATATAGGATAGTAATAATACAGGGGTTATGATTGCTTCGATTTTGTTGCCATCATGATCATGTGGAATCTTCGTCCAGCTGTGTCAGGGCGTGGGGGCCTGGATCCCGCTTCAGGATTAGTGAGGTACCCAGGACCTGATCGGTATCTTGGTGGTGGTAGCTCCCTAAACCCTAAACCCTAATCCCTAAACCCTGGTTCTTCTGGGAAGGCAGAGTCCCTGATGTACTGCTAACCTGACTGTCGTTTTCAGGAACAAGCCTATGGACATGAGCTGCACGTAAAATGCTTGGCGTGACAGAAGCCTGATTGATTGCAAGCAAGAACTTCGTAATGGTCAGTAGTACCCATCTGGGTGAACATGGAAGTATCCTAGGGCTCGAAATCGTTTCTGGATGTTGTCATACAAAGATCCCACTACTGCATTGTACACGAGTTCCCAATCAAAGCACAGACTTACCGGCATCGACGAGCTTGGTTACAGGTATTCCTCAGATTCAAGTACGATTGTCGCCCTGCTGTGACGTGTCATTACGCTCCCATTTGGATCCGAAGCCATCCACCCTGCTCGAAGGTCGTCAGCTATCTCACGACGCTGGGCTTCCAAAACAACGGTCAGCGCTTTTGCTTTTTTGCTGTGCTTTTCTTCTGGCGTATTCTAGTAAGTCAGGCACTCCCTGGATGAGATTATGATGTTATCGCTCAGGCTCAGACATCCTTCGTACATTTTGCATTTTTTGAATGGGATACGTGAACCCATGGCCATGTCGCAAAGAGCGTCGAAACAGCGAAACATTGTTTTAGATCGCACACCCCAACGGATCTGGCTGTGCTCAGGCCATTTACTGGTCTCCGGGAAGGCGACATCACAGCCCAGAACGCTCTGCGCACCGTCGGCACTTCAGATTCTGCAGCAGTGAATCAGACCAGACTGCGTTTGCAGACAGTGTGCCTGATATTTTGGTAGCACACCGATTTTTAGGCAAAGCTTCTGGGAGGGGGTGTTTAATCTTGGTTGAATATGTGCAACAAATATTCACCTGAACTTGGCCTCGGATACTGACCTCCTAAAAAAAAAGCCCTGTGATAGAGCACAACGCTGAAGATCAGCCAAAGATCATAGAGTTGCTGAACATGCTCCCCAAAGGACAGTGCAACAACCCCCAAGAATATCCCCTTGGTGAGGATTCAGGAGCCCTGTGAAAAGACTCCACCGCAGAGCTTGAGTCGAAGGAGCCTCGAGCGCGCAGTTCGCGAACTCCGCGAGGTGCTACCACGAAGGGCAATCTTGGTGGGCCAGGCAAGGCTTGGGGTTGTAAGGTGGATGGCATGCAGGGTTTGGGGTTTAGGGTAGAGTGAGGAATGTGGGAACACGGGTCATAGAACAAGGTACAAAAGGGTTCCTCCATTTCGATACAGCATTCCCACTAACCGCAAACTTACGTGGAGCCCCGTAAAACTGGGACAGTAGTCGTGGTTTCCATGTCAGCTGGTAGGTGTAGCAAGCAGAAATCTGATCACAACCGCAATGATGTCAAGTAAAGTTCAAGTGACAACGGGATCAAAAGGCATAATCAAGCTCGCTGAAGAATCTTGGGAGGCTTAGACGGTTCAGGTTTGGAAGGTCTTCATGCGATCTCTTGTGCGAATTTTACAAGGTAAGGAGTGAAACGCAAACGCACAAATGATAGACGGAGAATCCCGTGCAGTGTAGCTGCTGCTGGGGCTACCTCACAGAAAGACATGCTAGAGGAAGATGAAAAGCAAGGCCTGGATCCTGCAAGACTAACTACTGCTCCAAGCCCGGAAACATCTACGTCCCCGGAATCATGCAGGAACCCCTGGGGGACGTCGAATGGATGCAGCTCCGGGAGGGCCAGGAGCCCATCCCATGAAATAGATTTGTTGCAGGGGCTTCAAGCGCGAGACATCTGCCGGGGACACACTTGCGTGATTATCTCTTGTTGTAGACGCTACGTAGCGCCGGAGTCCCAAAAACTGGCTCCAGCAACAACGACTCTCCAACCCCTGAATCCGAATTTTGCGATCATGCAAGTAAGAAGCAATGCTGGGCAAGAAAAGCAGCGCACTGCAAGGGTGTTTGGAAACCTTTCTGATTGTTGCAAGATCCAGAAGTCCGGGGATTGGGGTTAAAAAGTACGTCCTCATTGCTCTCAAGTCCCTTTGGGCCCAGAACTCCGCGTACAATCCCAATTTCTCCTTGGGTTCCCTACCCTAGACCCTAGACCCTAAACTCTTGACCCGTCACCCCTTTTCCTTGAGGCATTCCCTATTTTCAAACCACCTGGAGCCTGTCCCTGAGGACTTCGCCGGCACGGTCAACCTGTCCGAGGTTTGGTTGCGCAAAAGAGGTTGTCAGACTGGGTTGTTAAGGAATTTAAAGTAAGCTACAATAGTATGGGTATATAGAAGATAACAGGGTCTCCTTATAATCACTATATAATACAGTAGTTTCCATTTTCTTTTCCATTATCCCTAAATAACCCCTATATAACCCTATTGTAGTAAGTTAGTTTTAGTTCCTTAACACCAGCAGGAGCTAGGCTCGGTGAGGTTTCACGCACCAGCTTCGTGGTAGGTTCTGTCCGGTGTCATGTTCGTACACCTTATGGGGAGTGCATAAAGCTCATAACCGCAGTTGTAGGTAGAAACGAGCCAGAATGCTGCGGTTGGCTGAAAGTCTCGACCGAGACTGCATACTTTTCATTTTTGAAAACCTCAAACTCAAAGAAGGGAGGCTATATTAGCTCCCATCACAACTAGTAGTAATGCACACCCCGAGAAATCAGTCTGCTTGTATCGTTTCCATATTCTTCCGTGCTTTTCCGACCCATCTCATAGACCCATCCCAAATCGCGAGAAAGTCGGAAAGATCATGCAACAACAGAACAGCAAGAAGCTGAACCCCCAAACCTTAAGCAAACCATAAACCCTAAACACCAGCCCTGAACGAGACTGATAGTGCCGTAAGGTCTTCAGGAACGACCGGGGGATGATGTTCTCTTTGCGACACGAGGCCTCCTGCAATATCGCAGCTTGAACAAACATGGAATTATCGGTTGAGGTCATGAGGACCTGAAGCTTAAGTGGATTTCACGATTGGCATAATTTTGGGGTATCATTCTTGAAGTTTATGGTCTGAATTGCTATTGTGGTCTATGGGGCCTTGAAGAAGTAGTGAGGACAGAGGTATATGTGAGGCATAGGATAGTGCAGGTCTTCCAGGATCATCGAGGACCACCACTAAGAACTTGTGACTCCTAAAGTGTTCCAACTTACAGAGGTGCAGGGAAATTTGGGATAAGATAAGTTTCGTTTCTTTTCAGTTGTGCGTTTTTGTGCATCCTTCTCCCAGTTGCACAGGACATGCACTTACTGGTGGATGTTTGCTTGCAATAAGCACTGCTCCTCTCCATAAACCCTCGACCAAGTCCAACATCTCGGAGCCATTGAACCCCACGCCTCCAAGAAGCTTACGTAATTACATAGGGGTTATTATGAGTACATAGGAATTATTGGGATAATATAGGAGCTATTTTGATTATCGCTAATTACTGGGATCATAAGCATGACGCTACGCGAGAGGCCCGTGTCCTGCTGGGCCAGGAGCCAGCCACACGGCCTACCATTCTAGGGTTTAGGGTTTAGGGTTAAGGGTGGAGGGTGTTAGACATTTTGAGATCCTTCCATTTTACTGGAGCACTTCGGAACGGAAGGTGTGCTGGCACAACACCCCTGTGGTGCTTGAACGGGGAACTACCGAGTACCCAACTCTGGGATGCCTGCCTTTCAGCTTTCAGGCCGTGAGTGCTCCCTCATGTTGAGCTGAGGCTTCCGGAGTTCATGTGCCTGGTCCTTCATTGCCGTTATTGTATATTCTAGATATTCTTGTATATTGTTTTATACGACAGTATAGTATGGCATATTACAGTATGTTGTAGTATATTTATCGTATATTGTAGTATACTATAGTACATTATAGTCTGCATCTTGGGTCCTTCTCCGAGCAAGTTGGGAAGGTAGTCCTCAGGTAGGCAGACAATTTTGCATCTCGGCCATTGCAGCCTTTAGCTGAACTATGCTGAAGGGATGATTGCTTGGCCAAACTCTGAGATTCACGGGCAGGTCATGAGTGGGCTGAACTGCAGGTATCCTACTTGCAAACCCCATGGTTTGTTTTTACCCCGCGAAGCTTCAAGACTTGATGGCTTTGCAAGGATCCGGCATGGGATGCCAAAGTGTCCGTGGAGTTGTACAAGCTGCTCGATATTAAAATGAGGTCCGCCGCCAAAACTAGCCGTTCCCAGGGCTTATTGTGTCGAGCCTATGAATAAGAAAGTGTGGAAGTCCTTCTGAACCAGTTTCGGGCTCACATGATTTGCTGGATGAATTCAGGCTTTGCTCCAGTCCAGCTTTTGCATGGGATGCTGGGCTTGGGGTAAAGTACGCTTTCTACTATGTGTATGCCATGATCTCCTATCTGATGTTGAGTCCGCATAGTTTGGGCTGGACGCTTGCATAGCGGTGGATCAGCTAGGTATTCTGATTTGCCACCATGCAGGGGAGCGGACTGTGCAACGATAGGGATGCAGTGGTTTTCCTGCGCATCTAGTATGCAGCTAGCGAACAGCTTATTTGCAGATAGCATCACCAATCCGGAAAGGGCAAAAGTGAGCAGGTCCATCCGTGTATCAGAGAATGCTTTCATGTGTGGACTCAGTGTTTCCTGTTGGTTGTCAGAAGCAGTGCGTTGGCATGAGGATAAGACTCTGACAGATGGAGAAACGTAGTTGTGCAAAGCCTGCATGGGACTACTTATTTCCTTCCTTGGGGTTGTTTCAAGATCCCAGCATCTGGGGCTGTAGCCGGGGCATTTTTGTAAAGACGTAGAGTAGCCATACGAGACGTCTTTCTAAACGACCCCTACGCAACCTTGAAGAGACGATTGTAGTCGCCCGAATTAGGGATTCTTCGTAGACGTGGATTCTCAAGAATACAGTCCCCCAGAAGTAGATAGAATACGGGGTATATCGGGATCTTAGTATAACATACCCAAAGCCACATTCTATCTACTTAAAGGGGACTATAACTCCAACATAGACCCTATTATAATATGGTAGTTTCCATTCTCTTTTCCATTATCCCTATATAACCCCAACCCGAAACCCTAAACCATAAGCTTGTCATTGCGATTCCGCGCGACATTCTTGTGTCTGCTGGTGTGAGCGCAGCCTGAGGCTGGCAGCAAATAGCAGTCCAAAGGAGCCGCGGGGCAGTGTAGGGTTCAGGGGGTTCAGTTCTAGGTTTAGGGTTTGAAGTTTACGGTTTCAGGATTTGAGGGGTTCAGGGTTTCAGCTTGAGGCGCCAATTCTTGAGCATTTCAAGGCGTTTTTCTTGGCCTGGAAATTCATTGGGCATGCTTGTTGGGCAAAGCTGAAGCCATGAGAAGAATCGGGGAAGCAGAGGAGCATGAGAGTTTGGCGAAGAACCACTAACTGGTAGGCAATGAATTTCTGGCCACAGATTGAAAAGCTAACAAGCCAGAAGTTTGCTTCGCCCCACTTGGAGGGTCAGGGGACTTAGTAACCCTTGTATAACCCTTGTAACCCATATGGTAACCCCAGTTATCCCCCTTATTAACCTCCAAGTAGCATCCGCCAAGCTTGTTCCGCCGAGCCTCGCATTCACTGAGCTGATGCTGAGGCGTATCGAGGCAGTTTTCTGAGGCCTAGCAGGTAGCATGGGAATGGGCATACTGACAGGAACTGGCAGCTCTCCGGAACAAGCTCACCAAGAAGGAGCTCCCAAGGTTTGCAGTTCAGGTTGATGATCTGGATCTTTTTTGGGGGTGTGTTTGGTCCTGGGTCCTTTCTTTATGTCGTCTTGAAACGTCTCCCACCAACTCCCAAATCCTACGCCCCAACTCCCAAATCCTACACCCCAGACCCGAAACCTTAAACCCTAGACCTTCCCCTGTTGAGAACCGTCCCAAAAACCTGATGGAAGGAGTTCTGGCCGCCAAAGCCGAGTGTGGCTCGGGAGCCCCTGGGTGCGATTCTTTAGATAAACAAGGATACTTTGGGTCATTCCCCCTTACAGTAACTGTTACCACAATGGGTTATAGGAGCTATAAGAACCCCCTTAATAAGGCCCCTTTAAGGACAGTTACTGGGAGGGGGAATGACCCAAAGGATACTGAAGATAATGTAGAGAACTGTCATAGAGACATTACCTCAACAGTGGAGAATCAAATAGAAAAGAACCTGGAGAATGGCATGGAATCTGGAACAATGTATACTATGCCAAGTCTGGTGGTTTTTTCTCAAAATTCAGATTCCCGTGTGCGAGGCCTTGCAATCGCAATGACGAAATGGGAGGGATTGTTCACAGATACATGGAACATGGAGTTCAGGTTTCTTGGGAAGCAAGAATGAACGTCCCTGCCACTGTCACCAAGATTTTGACACCCACATAGGGCATCCTCCACTGCAGCAGCCCTGCCATATAACAGACAGACACGCACGTGCACGTGCAACTGCAACTGTGAACGGCAGTTGCAAGGGCCAAAACGTAACACAAGCTCGAACCTTGAGCTTGAATATCGAACCCTCCCTGATTTCCATCTGGGCATCTCGCTCGTAGACCCTTGCAACTTGTGAAAGCTCACTTGGTTAGAGAGCACAATCTTATTTGGTGGAATTATCAACAGAGCTTGCACACTTGAAGAGCCCCGCAAATCCTCAATTACCATTGCTCAGATGCGGATATCAGCTCGACGGCGTCTGCCTCTCCATGAAACTCGGCTGAAGCTTGACCTTAACGCTGGGACGGTTAGGACATGCATCCCCAGATAGGCCTC